CCGGAAAGCGCTTTCGATCCAGCTTCCAGAAAGAAGGGAGGTCCAGCTGCCTGGCCCCGCTGCCAGTGTTTGGGGTAAACAGTTGCTTGGCTGTCCTGCACACACCTATCAGTGAGATAACCCACATCTCAGAATCCAGATGAGGAAGCCGCAGGAGCTCATGGAAGGATTCTTCCTGGCTCTTGGTCTCTCCTGAAACCTGGCTCTCAGAGCAATGACTCTGTCTTTCCTTCTATATCAAGTGGAAGCCCAGTTGTGAGGCAGCAGCCTCGGGGAACCATCTACCACCCTGCTGCCACCCCACCCGCTCAGCAGCCAGTAAGGAGCGCCCCATGGTGCCTGCATTATGCTATCGATACACTTACAGGGCTGGCCTCTTCGAAATGGGATGTCAGCAGAAAGGGCATTAAGGGAGGAAGAAAGATAAATATGTCCTTTCTGCAACCAGGGAGTCTCATAAAGAAGCATTAGGGGAGCTCACGCTGGAAAACACAAAGCATCCAGAAACACAGCGAGGAGCCAAGCCATTTGGCTGGCGCCACTGTCTAGCCACTCAACCACTGGTGGCCGGCTCCATGGCTCCAGGCTGGGGAGAAGGAACACTGGCCTAAATGCATCTCTTAGCCTTACCAGGGGCAGGCTGCTCCACGAGCTTTGTGGGGGGCACCAATGCAAATGCTAACAAGGTGGGGGTCATGTAAGGAGGCACCTGGGAGACACAGAGGACAAGGCAGGGAGGTGGTGAGAGACGGAAACCCAGAGATGGAGACTGAAAACCCATAGCAGTCACAACAGTAGAGACACCACAGGATACAACAAAGAGTAAAGAAAGAAGCAAGAGGGAGAGATGTCAGCTGGAGACTAAGAGACACAGACAGAGACAAGGAAGGAGAGACAGGCAGGTCAGCGGGCTGGAAGCAGAGAACACTGCAGGACACCCAGAGTGGGGGAGACCTCTTGGGGTGTAGAGGTGCAGGAACACCATAGAAATGGCTGTGAGACCACAGCCCTGAGGGGGGTCAAGTCCAGGAAGCATGAGGTCACAATGAAGTTTCTAGGGTCCACAAGGACAATTGTTCTCTGGCAGTCACCACGGGACTCCTGAGCCCTCGAAACATGGCTGGCATACAGATAGAATGAATTTTTTATTTGGTTTAATAAATTAAGTGTAAATGTAACAAACCACGTGCGGCTAGTGGAGACTACACCGGACAACTCGGTTCAAGGCATTAGTGCCTCTGGGCCAGAACACTAGGAAGCTCTGCAAGCTGGCCTTGACCGTTAGCACACCTGGCTGCTTGTCCATTCCCTCTCTCATCCCCAGCATGGACACTCGGTCCCCAGGGCCTTGGGGGCTGTGCTCCTGTTAGCCTGGGTTTTGGGTATTGTTACAATGTGTTCCCGTGATTCAGGACAAAGTGAAGTGTCTGAACCGGATCTATGCTGAAGGAAGCCATGCTCTGCACACCTCCGGGCACCACTCTGGGGGTCTGGGGCACTCCCTCCCTGCCCTGCGGCCTCCCTTTCTCTCAGCTGTACGGACCCACATCTCCGAGATGATGTGGGACCTACAGAACGAGACAGCCACACACAGCCCATGACTCACTGAGCGCTTTTTCAGGAGGGGTGAAGGTGAGAGACACAAACAAGGCAAAAGCTGATCCAGGCCTGCCTGCTCCGGCCTGATGGCAACAACGCAAAGCAGTGGTGGGCAGTGGGCAGTGAGCAGTGGGCAGGGGCAGCAGGAGCAGCACCCACCTGGCTGAGTCCAGCTCTGGGTTGGAGGCGCTGCCCGCTCCTCCTCCTCTCTAGCTGCGGGCTCTTCGAGTGAGCCGTGGGAGAAGGATGCTGGAGCAGCAGAGACCCGCCCGCCCGCCTGCCGGACGCTTGTCAGCACAGCAGGGAGAGCTCTGACGTGTGGCCACAGCCTAGACAGGCGGGCGGGTCACAGTGGGGCCCTGGCCAAGGCCTGGTTAAAGGGATATGCCCAAGCTGTATCTCTCACAGCCTCACCACTGTCCCCAGGGCATGGGGCAGGGAGAAGGTAAGCTAGAGACCCTAGTCTTACTATGAGATAGAGGCTGTCCACTCTAGCACCAGAAGCAAGTGATCTCTGCTGGGGGCAGAGCTACTGGCCAGCATACTTTGAGAACAAGGCCTCACCTCCTCTTACCAACTCCTTCAAGCCTCCCCTCCCCTCAGTCTCTCACAAATGCATCTCTCCGATTGTGCAAACAAGCTGATGCCTCTAGTTTCATACCCCCACCCCAGAGCTTACCATGGTTCCCTATTGCCCTCAGGACCTAGTGCCTCAGGTACACCCCACAGGGCCCTAACCCCCACCTCACACCTCACACTCTCCTCCAGCTCCAGCAAACAATCCCCACATTCATGCTTTGCACCCACCATTCCCTGGCCCTTTGTCGTCCTGGCACACTCCTATTCATCCCACTATGCCCTAATGTCACCATCCCTGGGGAGTTCTCTGTGACTTCTACCCCTCACCCTTCCTACTCCCAGCTGATGAATCACACTTTGCCTTTGGGCCCCCATCCCTCGGGGACGTTCTTCCGACAGTCATTTGTGAACGGCTGTCTCCCCAGAGGGGTGTGGAGCTGGTTGGCTCAGTGCAGGAAGACTGTCACAGTGGGGTGTCCTTGGGCGAGGAGTCCCTGTGGGAGCAAACAGTCAACGTACTTGGCTGCTAACCAAGAAGCTGGAGGTTCAAGTCCAACCAGGGGTGGTTCAGAAGAAAGGCCTGGAGGTTGACAACCGTATGGAGTCACCATGAACCAGTCCACTCGACAGTCACTCGGGCGTCTTATCTCCTGTCACTGCCTATCCCAGCTCCTGCCCACCCACTCCAAAGACTCTGTGCTGTGGTCAGGTCATCAAACAGGACAGGGCAGGAGGGGGAGGAAAAACGACAGAGAAATCAAGGACAGGAGAGGGGGGCAGGGGGGGGGTTGGCAAGAGGCTGCAGGAGGGAGAGTGGGAAGTGGTGAGGGCTAGAAGCCAGACAGCAGAAGGCCGAGGGGGAGAGATGAATGAAGAAGAAACTGGGGCAGAGCCGAGCTTTGGGGCCATCCAAGAGATAACGTAAAGCAGATAACATTCAGTGGGTCCCCTCAGCCTGTCTAGCTCAGCATTCCCCAGAGGTTCCAATGTGATCACACAATCCAGTGGCTGCTATTGAAAGGGGCTTTAAGGGGCATCTCTTTGGACCACTAGGGGAGATCTAGCAAACGTATTTGGGCTACACCATCTACCTACTAGCTGGCACTCTCTGCACAAGGAGGTCCCCCTGATGGGCTGTGGGTGGAACCCCCGAAATGAGGCACACTTGTCTACGTGTATGTGCTATGGCCCACTGTTTTTGTCTGCCTCTGCTCTCCTCCTTTCTGGGGCTGCCACCTGTCCCTGTCCACGTGATCCTGGTAGGAGTCTCAATCAGAGGACATAGCTTCCTGTGATCAAGGGTGAACACATAACCTAGGACAGGGCAGGGGGTTGCAGCAGAGATCATTAGAATCTTCCCTGAGATTTTATACACAGATACTGAAAACAAAAAGAACTATCACTTTTTATCAGGGTTACAAGTTCTAGCAGCTCATCTTTGCCACCACCTGGGGAGAGCCCATCTGGCCATAATGCTAACACACAGGTGCTGAGTCAGAAGCCACAGAGAGACACTGAACATGAATGACACTATCGGGCAGCTGGATCCAGCCATGCCTGCAGTCCTCTCTTAAGACTGCACAGATACTTCCATACAGTTACAACATTCAATTCCACTCTCCCCTTACCTCTGCCAGCTTGGAGAGTATTTTTGCCACTTCTAACCACAAGTCCTGACTACTGCATTTTCCCATATGCCCATCAGCCTCAAAACACTAGGGGAACAGGAAGCACGAGCGCCTGGCTTGAAGCAAAGAATGACGTGTGGCATCTGCGGCTCATTTTGTTCTGACAATCTTCCTAGCACCTGACAACCAATGTCTACACCTCAGGTTACTCGTCTACAAGAAGGCTTCAAAAGTTGTGGGAATATGTATGTTGTTTTGTGGTAATGCTGGTTTCTTTGTTCTGCATGCCTTCCTGTGCTGAGTTCGTGTTTTTTGTGTTCTTTCTTGTCCGTTTCTTCATAGTTTTAATGTTTCCATTGTCTTGGTATGTTGTGAGGTATTAATTTTCTTTGAGGTTCCATTATAGTCTGATTAACTTTTTCCTCCATTTAAAAGTCTGTTTTATCCTGTAATCTACTTGACCTCCTCACCACCTGGGTCTCCGTTCCTATGGTTTTACCTTCTTTTCACACTGTAATTGTTTTGGTTGTAGACTGACCTCCCAGATCCTCTGAATTTGTTCTTATAGTTTTGTTCTGTTCTGCACTCTTTCATCTGTCAATTAACTTCCGGGTGTTGGTACTGCCACTATGTCAATCTCTGGCTATTGTCTGTTCTTGTTGATTCTCAGTCCAAAGAACTCAATTTAGGGTTGGCTTTGGCAAATCCCTTAGCTTCTGTTTATCTGGGAATGTTTTTATTACACCATCGTATTTGATTGACAGCTTTGCTGGGTAGACGATTCTTCGTTGGCAGTTTTTTTTCCATTCAGGGTTTTATACGTGTCTCCCCATTGCCTTCTTGTCTGCATGGTTTCTGCTTCTAAAGTCTAAATACTGCACAACCCTTTCATGTCATTTCTCCACACACATTTTGAGGCCTCCTTGTATGTAAACTGGAGATCACAAAGCCCTTCTTCCCAGGTTTTTGTTTAGAGAATGAAAAGTACAATAACTTGCAATGCTCCTAGACGGTGCCTGGCATACAATAGGAGCTCAGTGCTCAATCCCTCCTGTTTACACTGTATTACACGGGAAGAAAAAAACATTTCCTCCTGACAGTTGGCCATTTCCCTCTGTGGGAGAGGAGTGGGGTGTAAGAGTGAGGCTGAGGCTGAGGGAGCAGAAACTGCTTACTCATGTTTACTAGTCCTACCTGCAGTAAGACAGTTCCCCCAGGAATGGTGAGCTGTAAACAGTACTTCGGGGCATTCTCCCAGGACAGCAGTTGAACGTCTTCAATAGCACTATAGGAAACCGAGTTTTCCATGTACCCAGTTGGCTGTAGGGAATAAGAAAAAGAAGACAGACATTAGCTACAACATCAGGCCTAACATCTGAGCCTCCCAAGAAGGTTCCTGAAAACAGCCCCTCCTCTGCTGACAAACCAAGGGTGCTGGCACTGAAGCTCAGAAACTCTCGGGGCAGTTAGTGTGTGTGTGTGTGTGTGTGGGCAGGGGTGGGGGGGTGATTCAACCAGGGGCACCTAAGAGCAAGATCTGTGACATGCTCCTCCTGTGGGGGCTTACAGAGGGCCCAGCTCAGGGCAGAACATGGGTCACTCCATCCCTCACTACCACCAGGCCACCATCATCTCCTGCCCCGAAGCCAGAAGCAGCCTCCCTGCCTCTCCTATTTTGGAATCCATTCCTGCATCACATTCTATTGCACAATCCTTCCCCGGGTGCAGTCTCTCCCCAGCATCCAGGCCATATTCCACTGGACCACCCCCTCCCCAGTCCAGTCTACCCCCAGCATCTGGTATCATGTTCCACTGGACTACCCTTTCTCCTGTCCAGTTCCCCATGCCCCCCAACCAGCATCCAGGCCACGTTCCACTGGACCACCTCACTCCTCTGTCTGACCTCAAGTGTGTTATAGATTGGACTGTGCCATTCCCCTGCAAAAAGATATGATAAAGTTCTAGCACCCACAGCCTGTGAATATGGCCTTGTTTGGATAGAGGGCCTTTGCAGATATTAACAGTTAGCATGGGGTTAAACCAGAGCAGTAAAGCAAACCTAAAACACCCAGGTTCGTGTCTCTTTCCTAGCTCCTTGGCTGCTTGTTGATGTACCTTCATGACGTCTTACCCTCATGACGTGACAGTAAGTTTGAAGAAAGAAGACCGTATTTCCAAACAAGGTCACATGTACAGGTACTGAGGTGAAGCATTATTCACACCCTAACACTCCCAACCGAGGATGTACTCTAAAATATAGCCTTCTAGCAAACACAGAATCACTAAACTATTCCTATGACCCCAAAAGCCATAGCGAAGGCTGCCAGGGAGCCACAGGACAGTATCATGGACACACTAGGAAAAAGTTGGGAGACTTCCTTTTCCCACCAGAGCCTCCTCGAAACCCTGAAATGGAGGGAGGCACTGGAGGCCCCGTGTAGCGTAGTGGTTATGAATTGGGCTGCAAATCTCATGGTCAGCAGTTTGAAACTACCAGCTGTTCCGTGGGAGAAAGATGAGGCTTTCTGCTCCCATAAAGATTTACAGCCTCGGAAACCCTGTACAGGGCCGTTATGAGTCAGAACCGACTCCACAGCACACAACAACAACAATCCTTGAAATACTCAGCTACCTTGCTCACAAGGAGCCCTGGTGGTGCCATGGTTGAATGCTTGGCCACTAGCCAAAAAGTCAACAGTTCAAACCCACGAGTCACTCCATGGAAGAAAAGGCCTGGTGATCTGCTCCCGTGAAGGAACCCAAGGGGGCAGTTCCACTCTGTCCGACTGGGTCTGCATTCATTGGAATCATGTGGATGACACCCAAGGACAAGAGCCTACCAGTGATGTGTAGGGCTGGAGATGAGGGAGGGGTTCAAGTTCTTCCTTTCACGACACTGGCTTTCTGTTTCTGGGGAAGGGCTGGGTATAAATAAGTACACACAGTATTCATAAAGCATGGGTACTGCTTCCCCGCTGTTGGAAGTAGAACCGATTAAGAGCAGTGTTTTTAGAAACACATCAAACCTGCGTTTGATCCACTTACTATGACGTTACAATACCGCTGTGAGCCAGTTTCCCCCAGGGGTAAACTGAGAAGTGGGTATTAAAGGAGATGCTATTTTCCAGGGGCTTAATTAGAAATGTACCTGGAGCCCATGGAAGGGTTCTAATAAAAAATCAGATGCTTCCTCTGTGGCCTTCTTCCCCCAAACCCACAGCCCTAGTCTGACCACAGCAAAGACATCAGACAAATCCCAGTTGAAGGATGCTCTGCCAACACCTGACGAGTACTCTCCACAACCATCAAGACCCCAGAAACTATCACTGCCAGGCGGACCCCAAGGAGAGGTGATGAGTGAACACCAACCATGTATACTACTGAATGAGAGAAAGGGATGAGGGGGAAACTGAGGAAATGTGTTCAAGAATAACACATCAGTACCGGTCCATTGGCTGTGACCCATGTACCACACTAATGCAATATGATTAACAACAGGGGAAGCCGGGTGTGGAACTATGGGAATTTTCTATGCCATCTTTGTAAATCTTTTCTATAAATCTAACACTAGTGAAAAATAAACTCTTGTTAAGAAGGTGTAAGTGCTGCTGCCTGATCTGTCACCACGACCATCGAGTATTGTCATCGTCACCACTACCACCACCAGAGTCTAGTCAGAATGCAGGAGACTGCAGGGAAGCCTCTCAGCGCTGCCCTTCAGGAGGATGGAGGCCCTCCTTGGTCCTAGGTCCATTCCAAGTGTTGGGACAATTTGACATTCTTAGGTGTCGGGACAACTGATCCTTCTCTGAGAATGGGAGCACGCTGAGCGGAGCTAAGAGTGAAAGAGATTGCACAGGTAGTGCTGGTGTGCCGTTGAGTCGATGTGATGTACAACAACACTACTGCATAGAGGACAACTGCCCCAGAGGATTGTGGTTATTGTTAGATGCCATTGAGGCAGTCCCAACCAATAGCAACCCTGTACAGGGTTTCCAAGGAGCGGCTAGTGACCTTGTGGTTCAAACTGACTTTGCAGTCCAGCGCAATGACCCACAGCGCCACCCCAGGACTCCCCCGATAGGGTGTCCGGGCTGTAATCTTTATAGGAGCATTTTGCCAGATTTTTCTTCTGTGGAACAAAGTTGATTCCAACTGCCGACTTATCAGTTAGCAAGAGTGCTTAACCAATCATACCACCAGGGTTCCTACATGGCTGGAGGATTGAATTAGATAAAAGGAAAAATCAAGTTCTCCTCCGTTCGAGGGCAGCTAGAAAATCCATTCTAGCTCCTTCTAAAAGGAATACCTGAGGGGACATTAAGTAGGCTAAAGAGTTGTTTTCTCCAGCTAAAAGCAGTAGGTGACATACTGTGTGTGGTTCTACTTACACATGCAAAGTCACTGGGACACAAATCAGATCGGAGGCTGCTAGCATGCTGGGGTTTAGAGAGAGAAGCCTGGTGGCACTGTGGGTTGGCATCAAGCCATTCACCACAAGGTTGGTGGTTCAAGCCTACCAACCACCCAGAGGGAGAAAGATGAGGCTATTTGCTCCCATAAAGATTTATAGTCAGACACCCTATACAGGGTCACTATAAGTCGAAATCAACTCGATAGATGTGGATTTGGTTTGTCTTTTTGGACAGGTGGACAGGGGACTGACTACAAAGGGGTTTAGAGAAACATATTTGAGAGGTTCTCTGTCTGGGCTGCAGTGGTTAATGTACCTGCTCGTGTGAGTTCATGGATCTATCTCACACTGTCCTTCTTAAGTGCCGATGAGTCCAAGGAGCGGCTGGTGAGTTTGAACCACCAACCTTGCGGTACAAACTGACCTTGCGGTCCAGTGCTTTATCCTACAACGCCACACCAGACTCCAATCTCATACCAAAAAGGAGCAAATTCTTTTTATGTCAATTATAACTCAAGAAACCTGACTTAAAATAATACACAAATATTGAAGATAATTTGGGAATAAAATCTTTCTGGTAAAAGCTCATCAAAACCACCACTAACATTCAAATAGGTTTCCTTCCCAAATATTTAAAAACATACATATAAATACATACACACAGACACATATTTATCTATATACATTATTGTTGTTGTTAAGTGCCATCAAGTCGGTTCAACTCATAGAGACCATGTATAGGGTTTTATAAGGAGTGGCTGGTGGGTTTGATCTTGTGGTTCAAACTGATCTTGAGGTCCAGTGCATTAACCCACAGCACCACACCAGGACACACACACACACTCTCTCTATGTATGTATGTATGTATGTATGTATGTATGTATGTATGTATGTGTACATATATTTATGTGTGTGTGTATACATACATACATACATACATACATACATACATACATGGTGTGGTGCTGCAGGATAAACACTATAGACCTCAAAGTCAGTTTGAATCACAAGATCTGTGGTTCAAACCCACTAGTCGTGCCTCTGAAACCCTATACAGAGTCGTTATGAGTTGGAACTGACTCAACAGAACTTAACAACAATACACATATGCGCCTGCACACACAGATAAAATTTTAACAGAGTCAAAATCAATCAGCATATAGGCACTTATATTTCAGGTAAAATGTCAACATACGTGTATCCTACACTCTGAACAACTGAGAGAGGCTGTCTAACCGTTTACCACTCTTGATTTAATCTCTGCCCTGTCCCCTTCCCACCACAGGACAGGACCCTTGTTTCATTTCATGCCTACTATAAACAACTCCGAATTGAACATCCTTGTGAAACATGTTTTTCTACCCTATATTTAGGATTATTTCCTTAGGCCAGATTCCCAGAAATGGAATTACTGGGACAAAGGGTAAGAGCATATTTTATATCACTGCCAAATTGCTCTCATTAAAGAGATATTAGCGAACAGCGGGAAGCCCGGGCAGAGGAAGGAGGGACTTGGTCCTGGGCCGCTGCCTGATGGGTCTTGGAGAAGCAATGCGCTCGGCCAGGTGAGTTCTGGACAACGGGAAAGCTGAGTGGCCGTGGTGTGCTGACCTGGTGAGCTGTCTGAGACAAGTTCCCACCAACCCTGACTCCACACAAGAAGGGCCCTCCCAGACCCACTCGACAAGGTCCCTGTGGTCATACCAAGTCTGTACCAGGAAATAACAATCAACAATGATGGCAGTAACAGTAACAATGCAGTTGCAGCCCTGACGTCTCATGCTCTGTCCTTTTTTTTCAATGACAGCTGAAGGACACATTACACACGCCCCACCCCCCACCTCCACCCCCGGGACATCGTGCTGGGACCCTGGGTAACATTTATCATGCTAAGTAAAGGAACCAC